AAAGAAAGAAAGAAAGAAAGAAAGAAAGAAAGAAAGAAAGAAAGAAAAAGAGGAAAAGTGTACATGTGTGCGGAAAAGAAACTTGGAATGCTCTGGAAAGAGCTGATTGGGAACAAAACGATCGCGTGACACAAAGATTTGTTGGCGTAGGTGAAGACTAGTGATCAATCATAAGCTACTCCCCAAAAATTCTTCTATGGCATCCATAGATGTTGACGTTGACCATCCATAGCGCTATTTCAAGTGGCCAATCAGCCACCCCCATCCCTTCCTCCTTCCTCCTCCTTCCCATTCACTCACAACCTAGACATTCGGGGGTTGGGTTTTGTGTTATAAGCTAGTAACCTTGATCGAACGAGTCCTCCGAAGATTCACTGTATGACGATCCGGCTTTGGCCTCTCTGGACAGTAAACAAAATTCCCGCTTTCTATTTGCAGCCAGTTTAGATTTGAGAGTCCTAGTTGAGGTGACATCCTTCTTCCCGGCTTTGAAGATGTCAGCGATCCGGCTGCATTTAGGGGCCATTACACTATAGAGGCCGGAGGGCCTCATCCTGGCACTGGTCGGGGAATGAGAAGGCCACTCATCCTTCAGGGATTCCTCATCTTCCTCAGAATCTGTATCTGGGGTCAATTAGTTATTGGTTTTTTTAAAAAACAAAGAAAGAAGAAACACAAACATCATTGCCAACTTTAAGCACTGTGGAGATTCTCAGTCATCCAGGTGTTTGTTTGTTTTTTCAAAAGGCAACTGGACTTCATTTCTCCTTCAACAGGACAGACACAGACTTCAGAGGATAATTGGGACTGCAGAAAAAACAATAGCTACCAACCTGCCTTCTATGGAGGACCTGTATCCTGCACGAGTCAAAAAGAGGGCTGTGAAAATATCTACAGACCCCTCACATCCTGGACATAAACTGTTTCAACTCCTTCCCTCAAAACGAAGCTATAGAGCACACCAGAACAACTAGACACAAGGGCAGTTTTCCCCCAAATGCCATCACTCTGCTAAACAAATAATTCCCACAACACTGTCCAACTGTGTACAAAGTGTGCATTATTATTACTGTTAATCCTCCCATCCTTCCTATCACTCATCTCCTCCCACTTATGACTGTATGACTGTAACTCTGTTGCTTGTATCCTTACGATTTATATTGACTGTTTCCTAGTATGATTTGATTGCTTATTGTACCCTATGACTTTCATTAAATGTTGTACCTGATGATTCTTGACTCTTGACGAATGTCTCTTTTCTTTTTATATACAGAGAGCATTTGCACCAAGACAAATTCCTTGTGTGTCCAATCACACTTGGCCAATAAAGAATTCTATTCTAATTTCTATTCTATTCTAATTTCTATTCTATTCTATTTTCTATTCTATTCTAATTTCTATTCTATTCTAATTTCTATTCTATTCTATTCTAATTTCTATTCTATTCTAATTTCTATTCTATTCTGTATCTTGTTCCATCCCATCCCATTCTATTTAAATTCTATTCCTATATCCTTCTATTCTATTCTATTGTACCCTATGACTATCATTAAGTATTGGACCTGATGATTCTGGACTCTTGACAAATGTATCTTTTTTTTATGTACACTGAGAGCATTTGCACCAAGACAAATTCCTCGTGTGTCCAACCACACTTGGCCAATAAAAATTCTATTCTTATTCTAAGATGTTTCGCTTCTCATCCAAGGTGCTTTTTCAGTTCTGACTGAATGGTGGAGGATAGAAAGTGACCCTCAGGGCCCAGATAAACCTCCAAGTGGCCCCAATGGCTCTCAGAGAGAGTACTAATGACCAGATGACTGCAAGGGATATAAATCCTCCTATCCTCCACCATTCAGTCAGAACTGAAGAAGTTTCTTGGGTGAGAAGCAAAACGTCTTCAAGAAAGAATAAGTCGAGTTGCCTTTTGAAATAGCACCTTTGGGACAATTTTAAGCACTGCATCAGAGATCCGAATATGGAAGAGGATTCGAAAATGGTGGCTTGGCACACTGATTTCCATGTTCAACACCCAACACCTCCAGTTTAAACCTGGTTGTCCATTATTCAAAGTTTTGGGGTCAAGGGTCACCCTTAAGTATTGGAGGGACCTGTCAATCCTACTCTAAAAGATACCTAGGCCACACTAAGAATTAAACTGACTCCATTAAAATTACATTAATATTCAACGCATTCAATGCAATGATTATGATTACTTCCCATGTATTTCAATGCTTCCCCCCCCTCCCAATTCTACCACATTAAAAGTAACACTTCAGGGGTGTGTATGTCAGAAAAAGGACAGAAGAAGAGTCTGAATCTGAAGGATCAGAATGCAAATTATGGGAAAGGCCTGGAAATCCTGCAACCAGGATCTTTATTAATGTAATATACTAATAATAATCCAAACCTGACAGGAAGAACAATTAACCAGTGGAATAGCTTGTCTCCAGAAGTTGTGGGTTCTCCATCAATGGAGGCTTTCAAAAAGAGATTGAACAACCATTTATAAGGCCTGCTGCTTGAGCTGGACTAGAGGATCTCCAAGGTCCCTTCCAACTTGGTTATTCTCTTAAATATAGCCCACCAAAAACAGTGAGGAGTAGAAACCAGAAAAATAAAAGTGACTTACTGTAGGAATAACTGCTCACTTCAGATATCGCAGGCGACTTGGAAACCTTCAGGTGGTGGCCTTTCAGTTTTAGCCCCACCTCCAACTTCTTCATTTTGACCGTCATTTTGTTTTTACCTTCTTTAGAGGCTTTCAAGGAGAAGCTGAGGCTTTTAGCCAAGTTCTTTTTGGCATCCTTGCCAAACAAGGCACCGTGGGGGGACAGGTATCGGTTGTTGTAACAGCCGCCATTTTTTGGCCTCCCTCTTGACCCATCCACAAACTTGAATGGAGATTTCAGCTTGCTGCGCCGGGTGAGGGACAGGGCTTTGTCGAGCTTGCTCACCAGTTGTTCCTGATCAGAGGACACCTTCTTCTTCTTGAACTTGAGCTTTAAAAAAGGAGAAGGGGAAAAAGAGAGAGAGGAAGAATGAGCAGAAATGGAGGAAAGTAAGGGATCCAGGGAAAGTCGCGCAAGGAATGACTTCTTCATCCAGAAATCTTGAAGTGGAATCCACTAGGATTTCCAAGAAATCTGAGCTAGATTCTGAAGACTCCTCCATTGGCTTCATCTTCAGTGCTGGAACTTAGGGAGTGCAACACAGCCAGAGGACCTCAAATTGAGGAAGGGGAATGCATTATGACGGCTCCTATGGATTCACATCCATCTTATTTCAATATGTAAAACCAGAAACATCACTAGAAGCCAAAATCGCAAGACTATGTTATGTCACGCGTGCAAATTCCTTGGAGGAGTCAATGAAGCTAGGAATGGTCAATGGAACAATAGGAAGGGGCAAGCAAATAACTTGCTGGCTTGATACTATCAAAACTGATCCAAAGCTGAACATTCAACAACTGAAGGAAGCTGGGTAGCATGGAGAACACTTGCCTCTAAGGTTGGCAAGAGTCGGACACAACTGAATAGTTAAAACTAACTATTTGAACAATGTTATCCACCCAGCTGATTCAGTTGCTCAAGTGAAGATGAGAGTCGTGGCAATTGTAATCTACTCAGGCCTAAATCTGGAATGAAAAAATTAAATCTTGCTATCTCCCCATTGGGAGAAAACCCTGATGTTGCTAAAGATTGAACAGAAATGGAGAACGAGATGACAAAGGATGAGATGGTTGTGTAAGTGTCATCTGATGCAATGAACATGAGTTTGGCAGAAGACAGTGGAGCACCAAGGTCCTGACCTGCTGTAATCCATGGGGGTCACGAAGACTCTGACATGACTTAGTGACTGAATAATAACAACAAATCTCCCTTCCATTTTGTTTTGGCTCAGCCATGTTGTCTCAAAGGGAGAAGACTCACCTCACTGGAGAAATTCATCAAGAGGTCTTGCTCATCCCAACTCCGGTGTCTGGTCTTCGTCTTCCCACTCCTGTTCTCTCCTTCCTCTTCCTCATCCAGGAGAAGACCTCGATGCTTCTCCTCCAGCCCTTCACCCATTTCTGAGTCTTCGGAAAGCAACAGGGATTTGCTGAGCCTGAAAATGTCAGAAAAGGAAAGAGGTTGACCAAAGGAGCATCTTGGTAGCATCACCAGAAGGATAGAAGGAGAGGGAGAAGGAAGGAGAGAGGGACAGAGGGAGAGAATGAGAGAGGGAGAGGGGGAGAGAGAGAGAGAGAGAGGAGAGGAGAACCTTCACACCATGATTTTGCAAAAGCTTGAGGTGAGGAAAAAACAGAAGGTAACAAGAATGACCAGGTGACAACATCCAGACCAAGCAGGATTCCTTAATTTCCCTCATGTGAAAAATCTGAAACATCAGAGCAAGGTTGAAGGATGACAACAATGCAGGTACCCCTTAAGCAAAGGCTAAAAGCAAAGCCAGAACAAAAGGGAAACAGAGGCAGCGCCACAGACAGGGCAGACTTCAAGACCGAAGGGTATCCCAACACCAATATGTTTCTCTTCTTCTCGTGCCAAAGGAAAACAAGTTCGAAATCCAACAAAATCCAACCTCCACAGCGTTCCCAAAGGAAATCCACCCTTCCCCCATAGGCAGCCCTAAATACAGAGAACCTGCTCCTACTTCTCTCTCTTTCTTTTCTCAGCAATCAACACATCCTCTAGATCAGGGTCTCCAACCTCAGCCATTTTAAGACTTTTGGACTTCAACTCCCAGAATTCCTCAGCCAGCAAACCTTTGGACTTCAACTCCCAGAATTCCTCAGCTAGCAAACCTTTGGACTTCAACTCCCAGAATTCCTCAGCTGGCTGAGGAACTCTGGGAGTTGAAGTCCACAAGTCTTAAAGTGGCCGAGGCTGGAGATGCCTGATCTAGTTCACAACAGTTTCCCCCTTGGTGGTCCTACCTGTTGCTTAACCAACATGTCTCCATAAAACTCCACGCGACAAGCCTGACTCATCCTGGTGGCACCCCAACTGCCAAAACACTATACCAAGAGAGAGCTGGCATCCAGGCAGAGAGAAGGCCACCCAACCAGGGTGGGACCCTGCTGCAATCCGTTTTTCCCCGCCGCACAGCCCAACCTTACTTTCCACTCCTGCCGTCACTCTTCCCTCGCTCCTTAGGGGGCGACAGAGCGCTGGATCCGTAGTTCCGTTTCCTGGGCCTTCCTGGACCTCGTTTTGCCAAGCTTCTATTTTTCTGGTCATGCTTTTCCCTTAAAAAAAACCACACACTTGACCGTTAACCAAGAGCAATGAAGAAAGAAAGAAAGAAAGAAAGAAAGAAAGAAAGAAAGAAA